CCGGCAACCAGGACTGAGAGAGAGGTAAGCCTAATACAATGGCCCCTCCTAGAAAAACAGAGAAACTCGAGGAAGATATGGAGGAAATTAAAAAATCATTGAATTTTATGTCAGCCGAGCTGTCTAAGCTAACAGTACAACAGGATCAACTACTGTCATTAATGGATGAGGTCAAGACACTGAAATTCAAGCTTGCAGAAAAGGACAAGAAGATTATGGTATTGGAACAGAGGGTGGATGAACTGGAGCAGTATACCAGAAGAGATGACTTGGTGATAACTGGTTTGGAAACAAGACATAGGACTTATGCCAGAGTTACTGGAGATAGAAACACAACTGAGGATGCTCCACAGGAAGAACTCCAGTCACTAGAACAACAAGTGTTGAGCTTCTTGCACAGTAAGAACATTCATATCCAAAGTGATGCAATATCAATCTGTCATACCCTTCTGAGAAAGGCAGACAAATTAAAACCAGTCTTCATAGTGCGATTTACCAGTAGGAAGTACAGAAATGAGTTGTTGAGGCAAGCAAAAAAACTGAAAGGTACAAATGTGTGCATAAATGAACACCTGACGAAAAAGAATGAAACAATAGCCAAAGAAGCAAGGGTGCTGAGAAAACAAAAAAAAATCACAGCCACGTGGACAAGAAATGGTGTTGTATGGATTAGAGAGCAAGAAGGTCTGAATGCAAAAATGATCAAAGAGTTGAAAGATCTGGAAGTGTTGCAGGGTAAAAGATGATTTATTGTGTAGCACTGACTAAATAATGGATAGTGGAAACAGTTTAACTATGGATATGGAAGTACAAATGAATTCATAAAGAATAAATGGATTCCCATGAGAAAATATATGAACTTGACAGTAAAATAGACGAAAGTTTATTTGAGTTAAATATAAATAGTAATTATTATGCAGAAGATCAGCTAAATAGTGGGTTAACTAACAATGATTCATTATCAATCATACACATAAACAGTAGAAGCTTAGTTTCCAAGATGTCAACAATAAAGGACTATTTAGGTAAATTTAAAAGTAAATTCAAAGTCATTGCCATTACTGAGACTTGGCTTTATGATGAAAGGATGACTGAAGTACAAATAGAAGGGTATGAACTTCATTTTGTAAATAGAATAAATAAAAGGGGTGGTGGTGTTGCCCTCTACATTAACAATGATTTAAAATGTAAATTAGATAAGAAAATGACTATGATGGAAGATAATGTTATGGAAATGGTAACAGTGGAAATTATCAATGACACATCAAAAAATATAATAATCAGTTGTGTATATAGAGCACCCGGTTCTTGCATCAGGTCATTTACAGATAAAATAAATGAGTTTGTGGATCATATTAAAAACAAAACATTGTTTATGTGTGGGGACTTTAACATTAACTTAGAACATCCTGTGGCTCTTAGAACATCAAGTGATTTTTTTGATATGATCTATAGTTTAGGGTTGGTTCCTTTGATAAACAAACCTACCAGGATCACAACCCAAAGTGCAACAATAATTGATAATATATTCACTAATAGAAAGGAGGACGTTGTTAAAACTGGGATATTGATGACAGATATTAGTGATCATTTACCTATTTTCGTAGTGTCTAAATATCACAATAACAATAAAAATATCATAAAACATAATTTTATTAATTATAAAAGAAATAAATCAGTTAAAGCCCTGGAGGACCTAAATAAAGATCTTAAAATGCAGAACTGGACGGAAGTCTATGTCAGTGATGTGAACAATGCATATACATCCTTCATGAAAATACTGCTGAAATCGTTTAACAGTAGTTGTAAATTAATTAAAATAACAGGTAAAAGGGACAACCAACCATGGATGACTAACGGAATTAAAAATGCATGTGCAAAAAAAAAAAGTCTGTATAAGAGATTCTTAAATTTACAAACAAAGGAAGCCGAAGACAGATATAAAAAATATAAAAATAAATTAGTAACAATAATTAGAAAACAGAAGAAAGAGTACTATGGTGAGCTATTGAATAAGAACAAAGACAACATCAAGACTACATGGGGAATAATAAAAAATGTGATTAACAGAGATAATACAAATGCAAGACTCCCAAACTACTTTGTAAAGGACAATAAAGACATTCATGAAGTTAAAGAAATTTCTAATGAATTCAATGATTTTTTTATAAATGTAGGAAGGAGTCTGGTGGAAAGCAAACCAATAATTCATGATACAATGAATACAATACCTAGAAATGTCAAAAGTATTCTCCTTGACAAAGTAGATCAACAAGAAATAAGAAACATTGTAAAAAACTGGGGAAGCAAAAGATCAACTGATTGTGATGATCTGGACATGGTGACTGTAAAAGCTATAATTGAATCTGTTATTGAACCATTCACTTACATCTGTAATCTGTCACTATCTACAGGAGTCTTCCCTTAATGAAAATTGCCAAGGTGGTTCCATTATTTAAGAGCGGTGATAAACAGAGTTTCACTAATTACAGGCCAGTGTCACTGCTTCCACAGTTCTCCAAAATATTAGAAAAAGTGTTTGCATTAAGGTTGGACAAATTCATTGATGAAAATTCAATTTTAAATCATGAACAGTACGGCTTTAGGACCAAACATTCAACAGCAATGGCAGTTATGGATTTAGTAGATAAAATTTCATCAGCAATTGACAATAAAAACCATTTCATTAGTGTTTTTATTGACTTAAAAAAGGCATTTGATGTCATTGATCATTCAAGGTTACTTCTTAAATTACAACGCTATGGAATAAGAGGGGTGGCACATCAATGGGTTAATAGTTATTTATGCAATAGAAAACAGTTTGTTCAAATAAATAATGCAAAATCTGAATTAAAAGATATTTATTATGGTGTGCCACAAGGGTCAGTCCTCGGACCTAAACTGTTCATATTGTTTATTAATGACCTGGTAAATGTGTCGAATTTACTTGGCACAGTTTTATTTGCGGATGATACTACATTGTTTTATTCAGGATTAAATATACATGAAGTAACTCAAGTGATAAACAGTGAATTGATTAAAGTTAAAAAATGGTTTGATATAAATAGACTGTCACTGAACCTGAACAAAACAAACTTTATACTGTTTAATAACAGAAGAAGCTGTGATGTATCTTTAATGATAGATGGAATGGAAATTCAAAGGGTAAAAGAAACCAAATTTCTTGGAGTCATGTTCGATGAGAGTCTCACGTGGAAATCACATGTAGGTTATATAAAGGGGAAAATTGCCAAAGCCATAGGTGTATTATATAGAGTCAAGTTTCTACTAAATTTGTCGGGGTTGTTAACATTATATCACTCACTGATTGAACCATATTTATTTTATTGTTTAGAAATTTGGGGAGCCACTTGCAAAACTTTTACACAACCATTGTTCATTTTGCAAAAAAGAGCATTGAGAATCATTAATAACAGTAACTATAGAGATCACACTAATCAATTATTCATTAGATACAAAATACTGAAATTTCCTGACTTGGTAGAGTGGAAAATATTGCAAATAATGTACAGAGCGAATACGAGTAATCTACCAACTAATATTCAGAAAATGTTTCATAAGAGAGTAAGTGGGTACATGTTAAAAGGAACTGATGTCTTTAAGAAACCTAGATTCAGAACCAAAGTGAGGGAATGTAACATTTCTGTAAATGGTGTAAGATTGTGGAACGCCATTAACAAGGAATTTAAAGAATCAACTACACTTGCTACATTTAAAAAATGTATAAAATCTAATGTATTTAGTAATTATGAAAAGGAGAATTATAATGTCAAAGATTAGACGTGAAAATATTAGAAAGTGACTGAGGTTACACTGTGTTTGTTTGGCGGATAATTTTATTTCGTAAAAAGGGGCAGAAATCATAAGATTTTTTTTCTATCTGCTCCTTTTCATTCAAATGTTTTTTTTTCAATATGTTAATGTATGTTGTATTTATTTGTGTTTATTTTATACATTTTGAATGAAATAAAAGATTAAAAAAAAAAAAAAAATATATATATATATATATATATATGTATATACATATATACATACAGTATATATATATATATATATATATATATATATATATATATATATATATATATATACTGTATGTATATATATATATATATATATATATATATATACTGTATATATATATATATATATATATACTGTATATATATATATATATATACATACAGTATATATATATATATATATATACTGTATGTATATATATATATATATATATACATACAGTATATATATATATATATATATATATATATACTGTATGTATATAAAAATTAATAAAAAATTGAAAGCTGCAACCATTTTAACAAAGACAAACAGGGAAATATCTAACCTTTCATTCGAGGTCTTTTATTTTTTTCTTGAAGAGCCACCAGGATTAGGGGTGCAAACTGGAGTTGGAGCAGAAAGTAGATTTGACGAATGTGCCGAAGAGGAGGAGGAACACCGATCAGAACCAGAACAAGAGAGGGTTGATGAGGAAGGGTGACACAAAGATAGTACAGGCATAGTTGATAAAGGCTGACAACCCCACATGCGCTAGAACAGGGGTGGGCAAGCCTGGCCCTTGAGGGCCGTTATCCAGCACGCTTGTGATTAAGAGGCTGCTGCAGAGCCTGATGAGCTGCTGAACAGGTGAGTCATTGAGAAATCAGGTGTTGGAGCAGGTAAACAACTAAAACCTGTTGGATACTGGCCCTCAAGGACCAGGATCACTCACCCCTGTGCTAGAATATACATTACAGATTTTTGTGATTGTATTAATAGTCAAATATCAAAGCACTCAATAATTACTGAATCGTTTTGATTACTTTCTCAAAATTTCAAATAAATTTTTTACTTTAAAAAGTGAATGAAGTCTTTTTCTTAAGATTAGTCTTGTAAAGTGGGGGTCGTCTTATAATTAGGGTCATCATATATTTGGGTCAATATGGTGAACAAGGTCCATTGCCCTTTTATCAGAATCAGAAAACTTTATTGGTCCCCATGGGGCAATTAATTTGTAGCTTACCACACAGAATAACTCGCTCATAAAATCACCAAGCAAACAATCCATTTATACAATCACACAATCACACAATGTGTGTCACTACCAACATGCCGAACACATCCTAAATGAAGGGTAGAGGATGAGCAGCAGCCCTCCAAAAATGGCACATGCTTAAAGCCGATGATACTTCGCTGTTATTGCGCCACGCTTCCCGGCTCAGAGTTAAGCAGTTCAATAGCTGATGGAACAAAGGAGTTGGCAAAGCGGTTTGTTTTCCGAGAAGGTACCTAATAACGACGTCCTGAGGGCATAAGAGAGAACTCAGAGTGCAGAGCATGGAGGGGCTGACCAAGGATACATTTAGCCTTTTTTCGCGCCCTCTCCTCCCAAAGAGACTGTAAGTCTCTTTGTTTGGCGCCAGTGATTTTGGAGCAGATTTTTACAATGCTCTGCAGCTTCTTTTTGTCCTTCATGGACAAGGCTTTGTACCAACAAACAAATGAAAATGTTAAAATGCTTTCTATAAAACAGCTATAAAAGTTGCAGAGAATCCTTTTATTCACGTTAAAATAGTTCAATTTCCTTAAAAGATAGATTCTCTGCTGAGCTCGTTTAAAAATGGAGTCCGTGTTTGTACCAAACCGCAGCTTGTTGTCAATCCAAGAACCAAGGTATCTGTACTCTTCAACCACCTCCACCACTTCACCGTGGATGATGCTACTACCAAGGTGGGGTGGTGCAGAGCGTCTAAAATCAATAATCATATCCTTGGTTTTTTTGACGTTCAGGTCCAGGTAGTTACTGTCACACCATTCTACAAAATCTGACAGCGCGGGACCATGGTTTATTTCAGATCCCGAAAGTAAGGACATCAAAACAGTGTCGTCCGAAAACTTGACCAAGAACCTGTTGTTCTGAGTGACCCTGCAGCTGTCTGTGTACAAGATAAACAACAGGGGGGACAGAACGCATCCCTGAGGAGATCCGGTGCTGGACATTAATGGGAGGGAAATCTGACCATTAACCAACACCTGCTGGGTCCTCCCCGTAAGAAAGTTCAAAATCAGTAAGAGAAGCTGATCGGGCAAATTAAATATTATATTTATATTTATATCTTTTGACTAAACCACAACATCTGCAATAAACATCGGTCATTTAGCTATTTTCTCCATTGGACATGTCTCATGGTCTTACACTCAGAAATTTGGCAATAGCCACAAAATATTGCTGATTAAGATGGTTTAGAAAACTGACAACCACTCTACGTGTAAGTTACTTCACAGTGAGAGTGGGCTTTATGGTGATAACAAAAATAGAATTATAATATATAAATTAATCTGGGAAGATTGTTCAAGCATAATACTGTCTAGTAATTTGTGCTCTGCTTTTCATCGTCAATGAAACACATTAATTTAGAAAGTGTAGTAAAGAGTTAAAATGGTTCATTTGATTGGATGTACATGACATTTCTTCTTACAATAATTTTATTAAGCATCAGTCTTCTGTGTGTGAGAAAATACTAACTTAACTAAAACTGTGATCAAGCTACAGTTTAATCTTGGCTTACTAAAATAGTGTTACTACATTTTTATCATATTGTTAAGTCAAAGCCTAGGAAACATAGCGACTGTAACTCACATTGTACGTTTATTTAAAGTACACTTTAGTTATAGGGAAATAATAAATGACAAGTCATTTCACTTTTCAGAAGATGCTCGTAGAGCTTCTTCATTTTCCTCAGAATGTCCTGGCCCACCGAGTCCAAATCTGGGAAATGTTGGAGCAAATCTGCTCTCAACTGACCATTCCTGCCCTGCTTTCCCAAACGGGACAGAGCACATCCCCAGCTCCTGTAGTTTTAGGACCTAAAAGAAAAAAAAACATATTACAATTATAAAAAAATTTACTCTCACTTCTCAAATTTCTTTTATGATTTTTTCCCCCTTAACTATTCTCACCGCAGTACTGTCATATAAACTCACAGAAGGCTCTGCTGAACCCAGAATTCGGCCAGCATCGCGGTTTTGTTTAACTTTTGAGGCCCATCCACAGGCCTGGATGCGGCTTTGTTGCTGTCTTAAGCCGGGCGTACACTGTGCGACTTTTTCACTTTTTTGAGCCGATTTTCCAGTCGTGCGAGAATCCACGACATCGGGGCGAGTTTTGCGCCGAGCGGTCGTGTAGTGTACAGGGGTTACGAGACGCGATTAACACCACGTGACCAACTGCCGATCAGCAGTCGTGAGGTCGCACGGACTTCTGGCGTGTTTAAAATGTCGCTCGTCCCTCGTGAGGGTATCACACTGTTGAAGCGGCGCTGCGAGCAGCTGCGACCCAAAAAGTAACAGAACCGCTCACGGCGCATGCGCAATCCTGCATCAACACCACTCGCTATTTCCCTAATAACACACGCTGTTCGTTTTTATTTCTACACGTTTTTTTACTCACAAAGATTGTCAAGAAAGCCTGTTTGTCGTGTTCATGTCAAATTAAACTGATCACAAAACACAGATTTACTTTCTTTATTTCGTTTCCTCATCCAACCCCCATAAATCCCTGTGTGTCCTCCTGCAGCACTCCCGAAGGACAACAGGCAAAACAAGACAAAAAAGTCTGACGTGTTGAGTAAAAACGGCTATTTTTAGCATATTTTTAGGGCCGACGTGTTGCTACCAGACGTACAGTGTGAGCAGTCAGGTCGCATCCGAGAACTGGGTCGTACAGTGTGAGCACATGACTCGTGAGATCTGCCCTGCGAGGCAGTTGTACAGTTTGAGCTGAAGCCGAGTGCTACGAGTGAAAAAGTCGCACAGTGTACGCCCAGCTTTATTCTGGGGGTCTGGAGGGTGGTGAGACAGTGCCCACAGGTGCGATTACTCCCCCCACAGGAGGGGCAGTTGAAAAGTTTGGGTTTCGTCATTGTCTGAAAAGAGTGACAACATGTGGTAAATATAAGTTATGACTAATTGTCCAAATAGGCCTACTTCTAAAGATTTACAAGAACAAAAAACTCCCATATTCCAGTTAAAAAAACAGAAATGCATAAAAATGTGTGAACTAGACTTTTACAAGCCATTTTGTTATAATTTATCTCATTAAAATAGATTAATTGAAGACTATAATAGGCTAGCTGAGTGGTTACCAAACATGGCTCCACCTTGATTTTAAATGTTGTTTCTGTGCCTCCCAACACGCCCCAAACACACAAATCTCATTTTCTAACTACATTACAGTTTATTACACATCGCAAACATTCTTGACGTTTTGAACAACGAAAAGTAACAGCAATAAACTAAAGATTACAATAAAATAAACGGCAATCAGAATAAACTAACCACAGCTCTAAGTAAACAAAAAACATGTCTCTGTGCAAAATCGGTTTCAGTGCACAAACAATTCCATGAAAAAAGGAAAATTAAAATTGTAAAGGTTTATTTAGACAAAAATGACATATTTCATATCTCATCTTCTCAATGACTGGTGTGAGCCTGCTGGTTATCTTTGTATTTTTGTGTTAGCCACGTCGAAAGCCTGCTTGTTATGCTAGCAGCATCCTAACATTTTACTTTTCAACTTTTTATTCATCCTACTGCAAATGCACCGCTTTCCCCCCAGGGGGCGCACCTCTGTTTGGGAAACAATGAGCTAGCAATAATTTTGAAAATGTATGCAGTTTAAGTAATGCATATTTTAAATAAGTCTTCTTCTTAATATTTGTATTTGTATTATGGACGTTTTGACAATTTAATTGGGCAAATGTCCTGAAAGAAGGTACATTTATTAAGCTACATTTTGAGGGGGAGTAGCCTAGCAAGACAAACGGACGGTCTAGTTTACTAGGCTACTTTGACAGTACTAGCCTTAATAGTTATGCTCTGAAAAAGTGTTTGCTTTTTTTGTCATGAAATAATGTTTGTACCATCCTTCAATAAAATCGTATCTGAATTAGCTAACTATACTATTTTTATAATAAATTTTATATATGTCGATTTAATTTGACTTACCGAAAAGAGGGAAGCCACACGATCTTAGCCAAAAGGCCATGAAGGAAGGACGCGCCAAGGCGTGAATGTTGCTGTAATGACGTCTGACGTCATACGCACGTTGGCTACTTTCTACTGTGAAAACTATTTTTATTTTAAAACGAGGAAAATATTACTATCTGGCCAACACAGTGCGACAACACTGAATCAAATGATGAAATTACCAAAATACATAATTTCACGTTGAAGTGATTAGAATTTGGAAGCTAGCGGTGGAGGCTAGGCGTCAGAAGGTAAGGGTTATGGGAAATGTAGTACGTCTACTATGAGTGAATTAAAGGAAAACGTACAACTCAGTAAGCCTACGAATGCCTGACACAAATCAAAAAAGGAAGAATTTGTTTCCAGGAGTTAACAGAAGCACGTTGGTATTTGTGTGATGAGACGAATGGTTGATTTTGTTGTAAAATAAACAAAGATGCTATGCCACGCTAAAAGTCTGCTACAAGTTTACTATATGAAAACAAAGCTGTCCGTGGCAATCGGCTGACAGAAAGCATAGACAGAGGTGTTGTTGAGCTCTACGGCTGAGCCTGATGTGTTCCCTAAGGAAAAAAACAGTTACGGTGTTTTTGTATTACCTTGATAAATGGAAAACCGTGTGGCTCTTCTGTCACATCCATGGGGGACTTGAAAATAAAAATAATAACAATTTAACATTTTTGTTGCAGAGCTTTCACAGCCACGCGTACGAGATTGTTGCAGAAACAACGGAAACACACGGGTCTCGTTTCTTTAGGTAAAAAAGATGCTCGTTCTCTGTCCGCAGCCGAGCATTGTGGGAAACGTAGTTTGTTATGTTTGCCATAACGCAACAAAGAAGTAATAAACACAGCTTACTGCTGACAAATAAGTGAAAATTGTTGTCTCGAGCAGTTAAATAAACATGCCGGTGTTTTCTAACTGTATTGTAAATAAATCGATTCTCATCGATGACGTAGAGATGACTCGTGGTCACGTTCAGAAGTCCACACAATTTATATAAATGTAAGCACAAGCTGCCGCAAAGTCCATGTTTAAATTTGGCTCCACAGATGTCAGACGAAAACGCAAAACGTTATCCAAACGGTGGGGAAAAATGCGTGTTCAGTGCAGCGCAAGAGAACATCCCAACTCGTCACTGTGTCGCTGCGCTGGGATTTGCATTAGAATCAACGCAGACCCCTTTTTGCCACATATATACGAAGAAGGACACTTTCTGCGTTGGTATCTGACGCAGAAAGTGAGTGACCAAGCATTTGCTTCCGACGCTTAGGGTGTGAGAATGTGTTGTTTGCTAAAAATACAGTTTCCAGTCCACGGGCAAGCCCTTTGACCTCAGCTCTGCCACAGTTAGAGCTGCATACATTAACGTTTTACATTAACTTCCCCCCTCTAGCAACTTCCTGCAATCCAAAGAATGGACTGGAGGACCCTGGAACGTAATGAATTGGCTGACTACTGGTAGTTGGTATCAGCCCTTGTTAAAATGTCTTGCACCTGTTAATTTTATCCTAGTCATGATTTGCTTGCTTATAAGCTGTGTAATCTATGGTAAACAGGCTGATGACACATGCTCTGGTACGGTACACGCTCCTGCAGCAAAGAGAGGAGTTTACTGTTGTTTTATTACACTGTCAATTATAGGGGATGAACCCAGCATTTACAGGGAGGACTGTTAGGTAAAAATGGATATTTTAGCTTAATTTCTTGACTGTTAAAACATCTGGTGCTCCTTAAGAATAACTAAAGGCAGGGTTCATCCTGTAGCCTTTACGGAGAGGAAGTGACCTTCGAGCTGTTTCTGGCAGACCAAGCGAGTCGGTTTTATCAGTAACACTCCCATGGGAAACTGCCTGTTGAATAAATGCACCTGGGTTTGTATAAAGGAAATGTGACCTTGTTTTCACTCCCTAGGTTAAACAGCTTTCCGCGTTAACGAAGTAGTTTTGGAATGTGATGTGTGTGTGTGTGTGTGTAAGTCTGTAACTCAAGAAGGCCCTGCCTTCTTAGTCCTGTCTCTTCAATAAATGCTGTTGGAGGACTTCCGGTCCGATGAGAGTGAACTGAGACCCTTGCTTGGTGTGTCTTCATTTCCTCTCCCCTTTGCATAGTCTATATATGTACATCTATATATCTATATGTACATAGCGCTGCAGAAGTCCCCCCCCCCCCCCCCCCAAGTATGTTTGTGTTACATTGAGTAGGAAATGCTCTGTATCTCACTTTACACCTGTATACAGTGATCCCTCGTTTATCGCGGTAGATGCGTTCCAGACCTGGCCGCGATAGGTGAAAATCCGCGAAGTAGGGACTCCCAGCATGCCCCTCGCGGGGATTCCCTCTACGTCGCACCTACGTCACAAACCGCGGCTATAAACGGAAGTCGCCTTTCCAGCTCACCACTCAGTCATCGTTTCTTCAGATTCATGATCAGAGTTTCCAACCTACCGATCAATCCAACGAACTATCAGCTCATAGTAAGTTATCTTACTTACTTCTGGAAAGCCCGGCATTTCCGTGTCACTTCGTTGACGCTCGAACGCTCGGGGGTTTCCTAGATCAGCCGGCGTTTCACCGACGCTCTCACTTCCGCGTCTGTGAAACCACGCTCCCTACAAGCTCAACTCCCGAATCCAGCTGACCTGTCTGACATACAGTACTATATTGAATTATCGTATGATCACATTCTCTTTTTGTGGGTAAAACTCAAGAAAAATTTTTTTTACTTGTTTATTTTTTAGTTTTATTACAAAAAGTGCATTTTATGATGAAATTGATGAAAAAAAAAAGAATTTCTTGATATTTCGCATAGAAAAATACCGCGAATCAGTGAAAAATACCGCGAATCTGCGAATTCCCCCTGAAAAATGCTCCAAAGAAAAAATCCGCGATGAACGAACCGCGAAGTAGCGAGGGATTACTGTAGTGACAATAAAGGCATTCTATTCTGTTCTATTCTATATTGATTGTTTATGATTGGTATTGGTGTTGATTGATTGATTACTATAACCCCCGTGCATTAAAACTGTCCCTAAGGTAATCCTGGATTGATAAAATTACCCAACAAAAGCAATAACATGAAACTTATGTTTTAATGACTCTAAATAATCTTTGATACGTAGAAAATTGGCATACAGACTCCTACAGTTAAAGTGTATGATAGAGAAGCCTTCCAAATTAACATTACTCAAATTTTCTGAATAATAATCAGAATTGACTCGAAAATCATTGTACAAGTTTTTTTCAGGGTCAGTACCATTGTCAAAATTAATATTCATCCAAACTATAAAAACATAATTTCTCAATATTATTCCCATCTAAAGAATCCTCACTATCAGAGGAGTCACTCTCACCTTCCATACAAACATTTAAACTTGTCATTTAATAAAGAGAAGAGAGAGAGATTCTACCATTTCCATCAGTTCTGTTTCTCCACTTCTGTCAGGTTTCTTATCACAACCACCTTCGCCTGCTCTGGCGAGCCATTTAATCGCACTAATACCTTCCCATTTCTTGACCATGTTGATTGAATTGTATTCTGTTTTCTGAGACTTCGACAATTTTTAGCAATTTCAGCATTTTTCTTAGTCAAGTGCTCATTGATGTACACACCAGTATCTTTAAAGAGCAAGTCACTTCAAATCACCATTTTTTTTCCTGATAAACTATATAAATGAGTGTCCAATTGTGCTGTAGACAGATGTACTCCATAATTCGGCACTTTAGTGCATCTTAGTTAAAATTTAAATCTTCTCCCTAAAACTGTCAGCGATGCTCCGTCGTCAGGCAAAAACTCAGCACTGCATTTGAATTTAAATCTGCCATCGCTATTGGCTAAGAGGTACATTATGATGTTAGATGGTACATTATTCATTCGTTCATTCATTTATTTCCATCATAACAAATACATATAAAACACATGAAAAGGAAAATAATTATCTAATAAAGAACATAATAATAATTATCACAGGTACAAATTCCTCTTGTAAATTAAACTGTTTCTTTAGATATAATTTATGAGCGAAAAGGCTGAAGTTAAACTTATTTAAGCCTACCCATTAATTCATTACAAAAAAAATCAACATTGTCATAAATATCAAAAGTAAATAAACATATAAACAATACAATTATTACATGCATCATCCTAATTTCAACTAAATCAATCAAGAGATATAAACATGAATAAAACAAAAACAATTGAAATCAATCAAGAGGTATAAAACGTGTGACAAAACTAATTTTGGTGCACTTGGTAATTACGTAAGGCATTATTTTTAAAACTCTTTTTGAATGTTTTCAACGAGCATGAATTTTTTAATCTATCCTCGAGGCTATTCCATAAACTCACTCCTTTTACTGAGATACATCTTTGTTTTTATTGGTTCTAATATTCTTTTTTTTTTTTGAAAATCCCAGATTGATGTCACAATGTCCTGAGCGTGTGTATTTGTTAGAGGCTCCGCCCTCTCGGCCTGCTAGGCAACAGCATTTGTTGCATTTTTCAAACATGAAGTTGGAGTTGAGTAAGAATCTGGCAGGGGGTGACTTGCTCTTGATGTTTTTTAGCTTGTCTCAATATTTCAGCCTTGTGCTTTCGATCAGCAAGTCTGGCTCCAGTGACAGGTGGATGAATTCTGTCCTTGCGAGGGAGAATATGACACGCTGAGATTTGGTTTGTTGAGACAGCACTTTGTTCATGTTTTCAGTCGTAGCAGTAAGTTGCTTCTTCATTTCTTCCAGTTCTTGTCCAAGTTGCTCAACTGTCGACATCTTTTCCAGAAAATGAAAAATAGTGATCTCAAATACAAATGTGTTTGTTTGGGTAGACTTCATGGATGCTGCTCTGTTCCAAAAACTCCATGCGGTCCCAGATCTCCAGCACCAAACTTCCTCAAAAACCGCACAAATGTTGTCAAATATTTCCAGCAGAGAACAAAAAAGTACCGTACCAATTTAAACATGACTCACCTACATTTTTTGGTCTGTTGGGGGAAACCGGAGCACCCGGAGAAAACCCCAAAATACGTGGGAAGAACATGCTAACTCCACGCAAAAAGACTGATGCTGAATACACACTAAGTGTTGCTGAGAGGGGAGCTTGCTGCTAACTGCTCCTCGTATGAATAAATATTACAGTTAATAATACACTCACTCGTTTCTGTAGAGCCTGTTCATCGGTAGGTCTAAAGGGAGCAGCTTTAGGGAATCTAAGCTAATCTAGATGTTTCATTACATCCTCCAGATGCTGTATTATTCCTTCCAACCCTTCATTATATTAATGTCTCACTATCTCAGACCGTTTCTGTTGACTCACATGTTTGAATGTGTCTGAGTCTCTTGCTGCCTCCGACTGTTTTTACCTTTATCTAACTGTAGCTGAAGATCCTGGAAGAAGTCCATATGTTCATCTAGACGTTTCATCACGCTTGAGTACACGTTCTGTTCATCCAGATGTGATTGTACATCTGGGTCAGGTTTCAGCTCATCCAGGTGTAGTTTAATGTGTTCGAACGGTTCATCTGGTTCATCTGGATGTTTAAATGTGTCGGAGTCTTTTATTTCCTCAGACTGCCTTTGCTTTTGATCTAACTGTAGCTGAAGGTCCTGGAAGAAGTCCATATGTTCATCTAGACGTTTCATCACGCTTGAGTGTGAATTCTGATCATCCAGATGTGTTGCTATGTTTGAGTCTGGTTTCTGATCATTCAGATGTTCCATTTCTTCCAACCAGTCATCCAGGAGTTTAAATGTGTCGGAGTCTTTTACTACCTCACACTGCTCTCGTTTATCTTCTAGTTTTTGTTTATGATCCTCACAAAAATGTTCGTCCAGACGTCTGGAGGTCTCGGGCCGTGTTTCAGGTTCGTCCAGATGTTTTGTGGTCTCAGACTGTTTTTGTTTTCTCTCCAATGTTTGTTTAAGATCTTCAAAAAAGTCCATATGTTCATCTAGACGTCTCACCTCGCTTGAGTACACGTTCTGTTCATCCAGATGTGATTGTACATCTGGGTCAGGTTTCAGCTCATCCAGTTGTAGTTTAACGTCTTCGAACGGTTCATCTGGTTCATCTGGATGTTTAAATGTGTCGGAGTCGTTTATTTCCTCAGACTGCCTTTGCTTTTGATCTAACTGTAGCTGAAGGTCCTGGAAGAAGTCCATATGTTCATCTAGACGTTTCATCACGCTTGAGTGTGAATTCTGATCATCCAGATGTGTTGCTATGTTTGAGTCTGGTTTCTGATCATCCAGATGATCCATTTCTTCCAACCAGTCATCCAGGAGTTTAAATGTGTCGGAGTCTTTTACTACCTCACACTGCTCTCGTTTATCTTCTAGTTTTTGTTTATGATCCTCACAAAAATGTTCGTCCAGACATCTGGAGGTCTCGGGCCGTGTTTCAGGTTCGTCCAGATGTTTTGTGGTCTCAGACTGTTTTTGTTTTCTCTCCAATGTTTGTTTAAGATCTTCAAAAAAGTCCATATGTTCATCTAGACGTCTCACCTCGCTTGAGTACACGTTCTGTTCATCCAGATGTGATTGTACATCTGGGTCAGGTTTCAGCTCATCCAGGTGTAGTTTAATGTGTTCGAACAGTTCATCTGGTTCATCTGGATGTTTAAATGTGTCGGAGTCTTTTATTTCCTCAGACTGCCTTTGCTTTTGATCTAACTGTAGCTGAAGGTCCTGGAAGAAGTCCATATGTTCATCTAGACGTTTCATCACGCTTGAGTGTGAATTCTGATCATCCAGATGCGATTGTACATCTGGGTCAGGTTTCAGCTCATCCAGTTGTAGTTTAATGTCTTTGAACGGTTCATCTGGATGTTTGGATGTGTCGGAGTCTTCTGCTCCTTCAGATTGGCTTTGCTTTCTCTCTAATGTTTGTTTCAAATCTTCAAAAAAGTCCAGATGTTGGTCTAGACGATCCATGGTCTCTGACTGTATTTTAGGTTTTTCCAGGTATCTCGTGGTGCCAGGCTGGTTTTTCGTTTCCCTCAGACGTGCCAAAGCTACGTGTAACGTTTCATCTGCTTTTCTCTTTTTAAACTCTTTAGTTTTAATTTGAAATAATCTTTTCTCTTCTTCCAGGAGTTCGGTCTCTTCTCTCAGCTGTAGCTTGATGTCCTCGAGTGTATTTTTTTCGTTACACAACGTCTCTTTCTCTTTGTGCACTTGTCGCCGCTCCTGTTCAACCTTCCACTTTGCTGTTTCAAGCTGGCGTTTCTGCTTTTCCAATGATGACTTCTCTCGCTTAATCTTTTGCTTTTCATCCTTGTGATCTTGGATCTGTTTCTGTTGTGTGTTACAACGATCTCTGAGTTTGAGAATTTCTTCTTCCAGGAGTTTTGCGTGTTTAGCTAATCTTTCTCCCTGGCTTTCTTTCTGATTTGGCTGCTGATTGCTATTAAACCTGCTATAAACTCCATTCAAACAATTAATCACTGCATTAAGTTTAACATCAGCTGCTGGCTTTGGCGTGGGGGCGTTTGTTTCACTGGTACCATAATAGTCTTCTGGACTTGCAGTCCGCAGACTGCCTTCAGTCTTCCCAATGTCATCGACACATTTAAAGAACACGTTGGGTTTAAAAGCAGAAACGGGATTTTCGTTTGTTCCACTGACTGAGTCTTCGTCCCCTTGGGAAGAGTCCTCTAAACTGTGGAAAGTTTCTGCTGTCGGCATGCGGTCAGCCCAGCTATACATTTCATTTAGATATCTAATAGCTGCACTGGGACTTAAATCAGCATGTGGCGTTTGCTTTATATCTCTGATGCTACAGCAATCTTGTTCTGTAGAGACTTTTGGACGCACGGTCTGCAGACGGCTGTCAACTCCGACAAGTTCATCCACACAAAACGCCCCGTTGGGTTTAAAATCAGAAATCTGAGTTTCGTTTGTTCCACCGGCTGATTCTAGTTTATCCTCTTGGGAAGAGTCCTCTAAACTGTGAAAACGATTCGCTGTCTTAGTTTGCAGGCGGCTGTTTGAATGTTTACCAGCTGCATTGAGTTTTAAATCAGCACATGAATTTAGCTCCGTGGCATTTTTCCCACGGTTCTCATAAAAATCCTTCTTTTGAGAAGAATCCACAAAAACGGAGAGTATGTTCTCTGTGAGTTCAGACATGATCCTAGCTGTAACGTTTGTGGTAAATCCGGACGTCAGAGAGGTCTACTGTGCAAGACTGTCTGTGTGACGTGTCACCTAGTCGAATGAGTTCTAAGGTGTGATGTCATCAAAGGGCACGATCAAAGGGTATACGTCCTGCAGCGTCTGCGTGCGTGGGTACTGGTAGTGCCGTTGTCATTGGAGGGGGGGGGGGGGGGGGGCACAATTGAAACTAGATCACGTGGGATCACTAATCACGTGTCTAACCTACTTTTGGATTTTATGTATTTGTTTCTTATATTTTTGTGCGCATGACTTGCTCGTTAACAACTTGCACATTTCGTGTGATTTAGTGAACACCGGAACTCACAACAGTAGTTTTGTAACGCATGAATGAAGGATTACTCAAGCAGCAACACAACTTTTCTCCTTACAAGTAATGAAATCATGTCCTGAAGTCTCAAAGCTTCTGCTGTTTGAACCGAACATGACACAAGAACGTCCAAAGGAGACATTTTGGTTTGAAAAGTGGTAAAACACTAATGCCGTTGCCATGGAAACACGTAAACGCTTAAGCTGGATTTATACTTTCCTCGTCAGCTCCAACAGGGAGAGACACGCACACACGCACGGAGACGTCTCCTGTCGGTCTCCTGGGGAGTGTTGCAAAGCAATTCCCCGCCAGGACAGCAGAGGGCGTAGCGCTGTTCTGTGGCATCCTGTCATGTATCCGGTCCAAGATAGTGTGTTTATATTGTGTGTTTTGTATATAAGAGACTTTTTAACACAGACAAAATTGTCTCAATTCAATTCAAGTTTATTTCTATGGCGCCTAATCACGACCAGAGTCGTCTCAAGCTCTTCACACAATAGTAAACTCTCCAATAGGTCAGTTCAGAAAGGTTTCCTATAGGGAACCCAGCAAGTGCAACCCAGTGTTGATTGTTTTCATGTAACATGAGTTTGGTTCCATCTACAAAAATATATTTCCAAAAAACTACAAAAGATATTTTTAAGCAAATTTGAAATACCCCTAACCCTCATCTATCATCCAATGAAAAAATATAATTAATTTGATCATTATTTTAGCTAAATATTATTTACATAAAATGATTTTTCAGAAGTTTTCCCTCCTTTTATAACTTCAAAATGACAGACCTTATGAAATATTGGAACAGCATTGAAATTTTGAAAAAGAAGAACAACAAATTAACCAAGAATATCAATTTATTTCATAATTTCAATCTAGACGCAGCAGATCCCCAAATGTTATGTTTGTATGTTTTTAGTTTTTTCTTTTGTTATCTTTCTGTCTTTTATTTTCGTAAATTAATTGTCAACTCTTGAATGTTTGTTATTACAAATGTAAACAACGGTAAATTGTGATCTATGAATAAAAAAATTTAAATAAAAAAAAGTGCAACCCACATGAGAATGGTGGGTTCTGATGGTTCTGGAGTGTGTCGCATAGATCCCAACAACATCGAAATGATTCAGATAGAAAAAGCCTCCAAAAGAACAACTCAGCTGATGGTTTAATAAAGGAAAATAAAATCCAGCTTCATCTTGTCTCAGAAGTTTTCATCTTCCCAGAAACCCTGAACGCAACAGGCAGCGCTGATGTGCCAGCTGGGTGCTGTGCGCAAAACTCTGAAACAGTCCTCTGCTCTCCTGCAGGCCGAGAACCCAAGTTCCTCCCCCAGGAAGGCGGGCCATAAACAAATCAGTTCACTGTAAATGTCAGCAAAGCTCGTTCTCTGTCACATTTAGACTTTCAGCTTGCTGGTGCGTCATGACACCATCAGGGGAAGAGAGTTTGGTTCTGGAAGTCTGCTGATCAGATACAGAAATTTTCACCTTTTCTACGATGCACTTCAGAAAACTCTCCTATTTGAAATGGTGTTTGGTGACGATCTCCGCGTTAGGCTGCGCGTGCAGACCTCTGTTATCAGCCGAATCTTCAGGCAGCTGAGAACCTACCACATCCGGGTGCGCCGAGTTTAGGGCGCGCGATCCATTATCCTGAAATAATCCGTTTACTTGATGAAGAAGACACGCCTATAAAATCACGAGGCGCTTCTCAAGAACAACAAACCAAAGACAACAAAACGATTGAAAAACTTCAGGATAACAACGGGAAAAAGGAAAACTAAAAAACGTGAATAAGAACGAAAATGGAAAACTCTCGGGATCCCGAAAAGGAGATGATAGGAACAGCGCGCGATTCGCTCTTCACACGATTTCTGATCAACTTTTTAGAAAAAATGACTAAATGTGACGCCGACAACGATGATGATGATGATGATGACGGTAGCGCAAGGCGCCGCTATATCACCCGACAGCGCCGCAGTTCCCGGTGACGCAGCCGTCGCTTCCCACTAACATCGACATGGTTGAGATTAGAAAAACATCGAGAATAATCCCTCAGCTGATGGTTTAATAATCTGAATAAACGTGTCTCTGCCTCTTCTTGTCTCAAAAGTTGTCACCTTCCCAGAAGCCCTGAAAGCAGCAGACAGCGCGGATCTGTCCGGTGCTGCGTGAACCTCTGCGCTCTGAAACTCTGCGTTCTCCTGCAGGGCTTTATGCTGCAGCTGAACCTGTTACACACACGAGAACGCGCAGTGCTTCTCCCTCAGCGTGCACGCTTTCTCATTCCTCCTCCAGATCCGCTGATGCAGCTCCTGGACAAGGCTAGGGAGAGGAAGCTGTCATTTCCTGGCACACGCACGGACCACTGCGCGGCTGCGTCTGATAGAGGAAACTCTCCACGGGCGCAGCGTTGACCTGCAGCTCAATGTTAAAGTACACATCATAATATTTGTCATCACTGTTCCCGGCAGCAGGCCTGTCCCTCGGTCCTCATTAGAGATCCTTTACTTCTCTCTGATGTTCAGCTGCACGTGGCGCATCGGTGCGCGTAATTACGCAGAAGGCTGATTCTTCAGAGTGAGAGCAGGTGCTTTTTGTTTGGGTCAGAACTGAACAGTGAGGTGAGGAAGTGAGGAGTGTACCATTCTGCTATACTTTGTTTGGTCTGATTTGGGAGTAGACCAATCAGTGAATGACAACTCAAGTCTGCACTTCCTGGTTTAACCGTTTTAGTCTCCGCCTGTTGTTCCAGGACGGGCTGAAGAGTGGAGGGTGAAGTTTTACTGTAAGGGGGACAGCAAGGGACAGGAAAGGCAGGGTGGCAACGATGTTCGACACCTTTACTAATAATTTAAACTGTTTACTGAGTTCTCCGTAGTTTATTTGATTTTCACACACATTTTCTAACTTGAAAATCTGATCATACATCATACAACCACTCGTCTATGCGGAAAAAGAGAAGAAAAGACATCTTCAGCCTGATGCGTAACCAGCGGCTGTCCGTCCTACAGGCGAACTAGGAGAGTCAGCAGGCTCAAATCGTGGCGGTGGCAGCCAGTCACGGACAGCAGTGTGTGTAACTCGTGTACTGAGTTATTCATTTGGTATCCTGATGAGGCTGCGCATGGGGACTTCCATCTTCGAGACATTCTCACTCCCAACTCCACAGTTTCTCTTTGTGTAATCTGAAAGAGACCCCGCACGTTCCTTCCTTATTTAAACTGTCATGTCTCTGGTGTTAAACGCTGACATGAATGCAACAAACCAGATGATTTTTATCCCAGATAAACTGGAGAGAATGCATCACTGGTGAAGTAAACGTTGAAATTATTAAAAAGTAGTCATGTATCAGCCGTAAAAGCATTCTAGATTATAGTAGTTATTTAAAATAAAAGCAACGGGATGTGCATGACCACCGAGCGGCACTTCTCCCTCTCATCAGCCCCGGTGCCTCGTGCGTAAACGGGACGCGGTGGGATCCTGACGAAGCGTCGATAGGACGCGTTGGGAGTGAGAATGTGTTGCTATCTTGAGACAGATGTGGAGAACCTGGAACATCTGGGTGTCGGGTCCAGCAAACGGGCGAGTCCGCGCCCTCTGGAAACATGTCGTTCGTGCAGCTGGCTGCACGCGCTCTGCTGAATCTTCTGCCCCATCAAAGTCCCCGCGAGACCTACCGGTCCCGCAACTGCCGCTACCCGCAAAAACGGCCCAACTGCTCGGCTGCTGTCGCTGACGGCACCGCGGTGGTCAACCGCCGACTATTGCCAGCTTCTCGGTGCCCTCAACCTCCGCGCTGGCATTTCCGCCTCCGTCACCGATAGACCAAGCTCACGGACTCGTGACCGTTCACGCAGCCTCTAAACAAGCCCAGTTGCTGCTTGGCACCGCCGGATGCGTCGCATAGATCCCAACAACATTGAAATGATTCTGATAGAAAAAGCCTCCAAAAGAACAACTCAGCTGATGGTTTAATAAAGGAAAATAAAATCCAGCTTCATCTTGTCTCAGAAGTTTTCATCTTCCCAGAAACCCTGAACGCAACAGGCAGCGCTGATGTGCCAGCTGGGTGCTGTGCGCAAAACTCTGAAACAGTCCTCTGCTCTCCTGCAGGCCGAGAACCCAAGTTCCTCCCCCAGGAAGGCGGGCCATAAACAAATCAGTTCACTGTAAATGTCAGCAAAGCTCGTTCTCTGTCACATTTAGACTTTCAGCTTGCTGGTGCGTCATGGACACCATCAGGGGAAGAGAGTTTGGTTCTGGAAGTCTGCTGATCAGATACAGAAATTTTCACCTTTTCTACGATGCACTTCAGAAAACTCTCCTATTTGAAATGGTGTTTGGTGACGATCTCCGCGTTAGGCTGCGCGTGCAGACCTCTGTTATCAGCCGAATCTTCAGGCAGCTGAGAACCTACCACATCCGGGTGCGCCGAGTTTAGGGCGCGCGATCCGTTATCCTGAAATAATCCGTTTACTTGATGAAGAAGACACGCCTATAAAATCACGAGGCGCTTCTCAAGAACAACAAACCAAAGACAAAACGATTGAAAAACTTCAGGATAACAACGGGAAAAAGGAAAACTAAAAAACGTGAATAAGAACGAAAATGGAAAACTCTCGGGATCCCGAAAAGGAGATGATAGG